CACACGTACCAATCTACAACCATAGCATAACCCTGCCATACTAACAAAGTACCAGTGACGCGAATAACCTAAACCCCTTCTCCGTACGGGTTGTCAAAATCAAACGCGTCCACGACCGACCGCTCAAGGCCAAGACCTTTGGCCCACTCACAATCGTAAACTTCATCGGCTTCGCCCTCTCTGCTCTCCTCCTTGCGCTATCGATATGGCAGGACGATGGCATGTCGGTGGTAGCGACGGTACTCCTCTCGCTTCTTTCCAGTCTGATCGGACTGGGTAACAAGTGGGAGCTGGAACTACCCTCGCGGAAATACAAAAAGACACCCGTACCGGGGGGAGATGTTGTCATTCGATATCCAAAGGGGTCTTTCCTGATCGTGCGTTGTGAGGAGGACGTGGCCCGAGAACTCTACTTCGCACCAGAGAACATCAACTACCTCTTGACGCACGGTCCGGCATACCGAATTCTGAGTTTGGTGGGCACTATGATGCTTATGGGAGGCGTCATCTGTCTCGCCAATGCTCAGATTCAGGTTCAGATCGCCTGGGCCGGTTCCTACATGCTACTGGGCGCTTCGTACTGGGTTGTCGCTGCCTTGCACAGCAAGTTGCACTGGGACACCTCGTGTTATGAAGTTGAAAACGAGTGCCTCTCTGACTCCGATATGGACAAGAAAGGATACCCTTCGGAAAACGAGACGTTCACACAAGCTCTCTGGAGGGCCATTTGTGTCAGCAAAGGCATTGCATGGGTTAAAATGAGCGATGCTTGTCCTGATACCGAGGCCTGGCACGAATGGCTCCTAGAGGCAAAGGCATGTAGTGAAGACTTCCAAACGGTTGAAGACCAGGCGAAGTCGAGAGGCAAGACAATGTGGGAGGTCCCCGAATGGGACGCACAGGGTTCTCTGGGGAGACTGCTGGCTGAGCACGCGGGACGCCAGAAAAAACTCATTAGACAGAAGGTCGAGTCAGCTTGACCAGTTTCATCGGGCTTCATGGACATTCATTTTGGGGTTATGCATAGCGCTGGGACACGACCTTTCGGATCCTCATACGACGAACGAACTATTATACAACAAAACTCCTTCTAGGACGATCGATCATTATACGATTTACGATTTACGACTGAGAACGACGACTTCACCGCCACGCCATCGCTGCCATCATCTTGTACCATCGTACAACACTGGAAACCTACATCGAGCTTTCATTTATACGTCTCGCATCGTTAGCGCTTTGAGCGTTCTTGTATCTATAGCATTTTTCACATAGCAGAAAAAATATACACAGCAGTATTTATACAAAGCTCGCCATTCGCACCAGTCACCACTTCTCGCCAACGCAACTTGTCATATCCGTGTCATAATCTCGAGTCACGCACACATCACCACAAACCGATCGTTGCTCGTCGAACTAGTGCTTCCAGCGTTGAATTGCCTTGAATTTTGTGCAGTCATCTATAGCCGGCGCAACGCTGCGTCCAAATAAAGTAGACTCATGTTCGCGGCATGACACCTGGACACACCGTGCTCAGCTCCAGACTCACAGTGGCTTGGCAACTCCGAGTAAGCTCGTGGAATGGGAGCCACGAGTACAGAGCCGAGGAGACCGACGAGCCCAGTAAAGGGCTCTCCCCGATCTATGACCATGCTCTCGAGTCACTGGTTATGTGTTACTCCTCCTGGCTGACGAAGAATCCAACAGCGAGAGCCTCAGCCTCTGTCTTGCAGTCATAATTGTATATGCGCGACCAGACTTCAGGTAGCGCTCTTCCACCGCTGCTCATATTCCACCTTCCTCCTTGCTACACTCCTCAACCATTTCTCCAGATTCTCTCCCTCGACCTGCGCATCGACGTCCATGGCATCGCCTTCAGCCTCCAGTCTAACACCACCCTCCTCTTCTTCGTCTTCGTCCTCACAGCATGCATCTTCTGCCATCTGGCATGCCTCGTTCCACTCCTCGTAGCTAAAGTTTCCCTCGCTTTCGCTCAGCAGCATTTTCCTGTCGCCAGAGAATGCGAAGACGTGTACCGATCGTATGGGTTTCGCGCGTAGTAGTTCGTTCGCGGTGGGCGAGAGTAAGGGTGGGAAGGAGTTTGTAGACGGCGAGGCGGGTTGAGCGATCATTACGGAAGTGAGGACTGTGCGGAGGGGTATCGATGCGGAGAGGAGGGCAAGGAGCGCAGTGTGAAGAAGGTGTGGGAGGAGGGTCAGAGACTGGGGCTGTCAGCGATTGATGTTCATGGGAGACGGTATCGCAATCGGACATACAGTGTTGACGCCTGCTGTGCTATCTTCTTCCGGTAAACTCCTGACTTGGAGTGTGATTTGTACAAGTGTTCGTGGTATCGCTCGGGTCAGAATTATACTGCGCAGTGTGTTGTGTACCAGTGTTTCGAGATGTCGTTCTCTTGGACCTGGATATCCGTCAGTATACCAATCACTACCCCATCAAGCGTAGACACATACTTCCAACTCCCATAGCAGGTCTGACGTTCACCTCGATCGCTGCCTCCTCGGGTAGTTCATCGCGTCGCTGTACTTCGATGGGACCATTGACGGCGCCAATGATTGAGTAGCCATTGTGGGTATATGTCGCAGATCCGTCGGCGCGGTTCAAATGCGTGAGGGTAACTGTAGGTGCGACCATGATTATGTGACCCGATTCGTATGCGCGCGTCGTCAATGAAGAGTTCGACTCTCCGTACTGTCAACTGTGTAGGTGGTGGGAGGTGTGCGATAGAATCAGAATGCTGATAAAGCCTGCAGACGCGTCGAGTTATAAGACTTTAATGCGCAGAAATTGGACGAAGGGGTGGGTGCTCTAAGATGCGCCTCTGCACCTCAGTGACGATATGCCATCTCCAAAAGTTTTGGTGGGGATGGCGCTCAGCCCAGTCTGTGGCTCAAGCTTCAGATCTCGGCGCATCACCGCGGCCAGCTCAGCCATGCGACAATTGAGCTACCTGTCAGCCTCCACTCGCACTTTCACCGCCATAGACATACAGCGCATCGTCTCCACCCATTATAATATTATCATCAATATCAAGACCCATCTCAAACATATATAGACACCATGGCAGGCTCGTCGCGCAACGCATCGCCCATCAAGCGCCTGATGACCGAACTGCAAACATACCAACACGACTCCAACGACGCGCTTTACGAACTCGGACCTACAGATGACGATGTGATGCAATGGAGAGCGGTTATGAAAGGTGTAGAGGGAACGGCATATGAAGGTACACAGAACCCGGCGCATACTTCCCTACACCGCCTACAGAATCACCACGTTCACCTACTAACACCTCACAGACGGCTGCTGGCTCCTCTCCATCGCGATACCCTCCACCTACCCCCTCACTCCACCCACCATCCGCTTCGTAACGCCCATCTGCCACCCCAACGTCGACTTCAAGACTGGCGAGATCTGCCTCGATCTACTCAAGACCGCTTGGACACCCGCATACACCATCTCGTCGACTCTGACGAGTATACACCAATTGCTCACTAGCGCTGAGCCAGACAGCCCGCTGAATGTGGATGTTGCGCAGCTATTCAGGACAAACGACGACGTTGGGGCCAGGAGTTTGATCAGGTTTTATACTGTTAGCGAGAAGTATGATTGGAAGGGGAAGAGATAGACTGTTTAGCGTGATTTGGGTTGGAACAGATGTGGCTTGTTGTACATTGGCGTAAGAAGGCTATGCCAGAGGATCTATTCAGGCGTTTGGTTTGATTTGGGACGAGATACCTACATTGGAGAGCGCGAACGCATCATGTATTCGCAATTGAGTATACTACCGACACAGCATCTGCATATCTTCATCTTGACTGTCCAAAATCGATTTATTTACCGACAACGTCAGCAAGCCCGACACAGCCCGCCACACGCACGTGGGTCCACGGCTGTGTTTCAACTTCAGCTCCCCACAACACTCCTCGATTACGCACTCCACTGATCGCCAATGCAGCATCTCAGACTGAGCAGCCATAGACGAGAACGATTGACGATATTCCTTCTTGTTCGAGTACGGTTCATACAAGCGACCTGGATCGACCGCTAACTTATTCTCTCCATGCGACTTCCTGCTGACTGTGTTGCATGCGGTACGTACTCTTTACGCAGTTCAAATGATCATCGTTACGAAGCCTGCAGTGAGATGTGTAGGAATTGCTTTTGGCGCTTAGCATATGAGTTGTTTGGCAAAGCTTAGATGGGCACATTTGTCTGGCGCTTAGAACGGACCGTGGTAAAGCTGTCGAGATCACGTCATTCGATCCCCAGGGACTTCCGATACGAAAGTACGGCTACTAGGTTTAGGTAGCGGGAACTAATAACGCGTCGTCTGGGCGCTCGGGGACTTTGGTATGCGCTCGGCTTGTGAAGTAGAAGCAGTACCGATTTATACTTGGAGAGTAGCTTGCAGCTTGATTCGGATCGATTACTTGAAAAAAGGCCAGGAAATTCCGGTTGTCTAGATTACAAAACAAATGCTAAAGTACACCGAAACATGAGGAAGATCGGGTACATCCCCCGAACCTTTCGTCTCGAAATACCAACATGACAAATACCCACCGCGGAACCAACAAAAGCAAGAAAAACGTGATAAGCAACCGGATCTACCCATGCCGGCTGTGGCTTAAGCCTCGCAAACAGTAACAATACATCGTGTCGACAAGTTTCGACTACCCGCCCCACTTTCACTCCACTTTCCTCAGCTAGTAAGCGTGGAAACTACGCAAGCCACAACACTCCATGCTCAAACTGGTCCGCTTCAGCACTTTAACGTTGAGCCTCAGTATCCACTTCTGCTGAGGTCATGCGACCGCGATCGAGCGATGGTGGCTTGTGTCCAGGCAGTGTGCGTTATCGTGGGAGGTAAGGTGTCGCTGTACGGAAGAAGGCATGTTGTGCGAGCGTGCGATCGCACTTGCTTTCCGACATTCCCCTAGCTTGGGTTGATCATGCGGTGAAGAGGTAGCAGAGGGGGCTCAACCTGCGGTGACGGTCCATTGAGTGCGTCGCCAGCCTTTGGTTGAGACCGTGACTGTTCCTTCTAGAAGTGACTCGTGGTCGGGAATATTGTTTGGCGAGACGCGGCGGGTGTATGAGATAGTTGATAGTTCTTCGGGCACGTCTTCCGAGGGTGGCTCGGTCTTGATAGTAGTCGACTCAGTTCTGTCGTGAAGTGACTCTTCGGTCTTAATAGTAGGTAATGGCACTGGGTAGTAGGGCGCGTCGTATGGTCCTGGTAGGTTCTGCGGCGGTGATATCCAAGGATAGATCGGGGACAGTACTGGCTGGAGTGTCTCTTGTTGGAGCGACTGGAGGTACTGGTTCGGTTCCCGGTCGAGCGATGGCTGACGAAGAAAGACATCGTTCTGTCGTTCTGTGCTTGACGTCTCTTCTAAAGTAGCGCCAAAAGTCTCTACATTCTCCCCTTTGAGATGAACTTCCTCTTGATATGAATCTTTTCTTTGGTGAATGGCCAACTTCTTCTCTTGATTGATGGGCAAGTCACCTTGACCCATACCCGAACTAGTCATCGTTCTTCGTCTCCGTGCAAGGAAAGCCGATCTCAAAGCTGTAGAAAAGAGCGCCAATAATAGGAACACTTCAAAAAGATGCCGTAGACTGACGAGCGGGAGCCGCCTTTCTGTACGGAGCGAATTCGTTGGGTTGAGAAGTGGAGGCATAGGTACAAAATGACGCCGACGGAAGGCAGGTGAGGCTTGGTGGGATCCACTCAGACTATGAGAAGCGTGGGATGATGCAGGTCCTAGATAAACTAGCCACTGCGTCAGTCAAGAAGACGGGGAAGCAACCGCTTTCATACAACTTACTTCGAGTAAGAACGGGAATGACTGTTAGCATAAGCACTAGGATCGGAATCCTCCGTTGTATAGTAGAGAGCTAATAATACTCGGGTACGGTTATTGTCTCGTTCCTCTAGGATTGGCACCGGGGTCTACGTATAAATAAGGATATCGCATGTGGGAGTCAGGTTTGTTCCTGGGGCATCAATCTCTACGGAACACGCCATCCTGGTCTACGTATATGCTTCGACGGCGACATCAGCACGCCCAGATGCGGTTGAAACATTGAGATATCGGCGAGCTAGCGCGGCGTAGTCCTGGTGACGAAAGCTGGTGGGCAAAGTGAAGCGTAAGCCCACGATGCGCAAATCAAGCAAAAGGCAACAAACTGATCGTGTTCAGCTGTGACGAATAGCGCCCGTGGAAGGCATACATCACGGATTCTGCTGGGGTAGGCATGGTTTGGTGCGTGGCCTCAGCAGGACGACCAGTGTCCTCGTGTCTTGGCTGGTGGTATCTCAGCTGAGTTTGCGATGGTGGCGTTTGTTGTGGCTAACGCCACTGGTTCACTGGCCTAATCGGCAGGGGTGACCCGAGATCTGATCCTGCGCGCAAGAACAACGGCGAGCTGGCTTGACACGTCTGGCGAGACCTTTGCGCGGGTGTAGGGGCCGCCAGTTGGAACGATGCAGTTGCGCCATTACGGGCGTTAGAGCGAGGTGTGGTGGGTGAGTAAGGCGTCCCGTGACGGATCGGTTTCAGCTTCTGCAGGAACGCCAACCGAAGGGCAGGCGCTCATGATACGTCGGGACACAACTTAAGCAATATGTAAGAGAGGCGGCTAAACAAAGACTCGTAGTGAAAGCAGAATAGCAACACGCACGAGCATCAGTATATTCAGGGAAACAACCGCCCCAGATGTGCTTTTTTTGCGGGGCGGTACCCTTTTTCAACCCCAAAGAACCACATCGCGTGAGAGGCGGCTGGTACGCGATGCTGGCTTAGTGGGCTGTTATCACGTCTCGATCTTTACCAAACTCAACCGTTGTATGTGGCTGTCGGAACATGAGTCAATCCGTCGCGTCTCCGACCGCCATTCGTGGAATGTTCACGATCTGGAGTACCTCGTGCGATCCCCACAACACCACGCGATATTGTAGAAGCTGGGCAAACCTCAAAAACAGGTTCTCGGTAGCGAGCGCGCATCGAACAACGGCGAGGTTGGCTATCTGTCAGCTGGAGGTTATGGATAGAACCTGGAAGATACCGAATGTATGGCGTACGGTGTAGGAACTACCGAGACGCGATCACTTTCATCCATGAGCCCGAATCTGATACACAAAAGCCACTTCTCTCTCGTCAGATCGGCGGCTTTTACTGGCCGCGCACGATATTACATCCCCTAGGCTTCGATTGTCCTCGCGTATTCAGGCTTCCAGCAGCTTGCCCAGTATCCACATTCTAGTAATCTTGTAATCCTTGCGTAGATCGAGCACGCCTCTCGCGAACAGTTGCCTCAATTTCGGAGACGCCGTTGATGCGAGAAGATCTACGTCTAGCGAATCCGAAATCAACACCAGCGGCTGCGAAGCAGCGAAGCAGGAACACTGGCGTGACCGGGTCATCATCAAACGCGCGAAAGCGTGCGCAAACCCCTGAATGTAACGATAGGGATGCATCGATGGTAGTGGCATGTTGGTGGTCCCGTCGATCTTACGCAACGTCCAGCTGCCCTAGACTACTCATCACGGCGATGCCGTCGCCACGTGAGCACGTGACTAAGTGCTACACTTAAATTTCCACAATGGGCAAGTAGCCCTAAGAAAAAAATCGATTAGGTCTGCAGGCTACATTGAGCTAAAACCTTGCAAAGTAGGTGACCCAACGTCAACGTAAGCTCCAGGCTGTCCAGTCTTTTCCTAGGTTGGCGTGGGCCGGCCCTCTCTCCACTCGTCAAAATCCTTCTGACCGAGCATCTCTCTGCCATCAGAGAGCTTGAGTCTGGGAAAATGTACATCCTCGCGGTTGTACGTGGGCTCCTTCTGGGCCAACTCTTCGTTGACCAGAACCAAAGCGCCCGAGTGCCATCCTGCAGCACTGACCCGAAGAGCGAAATAGGCGCCAAGGCCGTCTTCACCACGGTCCTGATCCCAGGCTCTTCCTTCCTGCTCGAACCACTCACTGACCTCGCCTTGGACGTTGGGGTCGGTCCTGAACATCTCCCTGCGCTCTTGGCTCTCTTCTGCGTGTGCTTCGTCATGGACCGCTTGCTTGAGCCATTCGTTTTTCCTCGCATCGAACCAGATCTGACGACCGCGTGTGTAGGCGTGAGGGACAAGTTGTCCGTTGCCATTGAACCGGTCATACACGATACCTCGTGCGTTCCCGACTAGGTTGTCACCGTTCGAGCCTAACCCCAGTGCGCCACAGGCTGAGTTCTCGGTACCGTATGAAGTTATCTTGCCATCCGAGTGGAGTGCCAGATAGTGATAGTCACCGAAAGCAATCGAGATGACGTTACTGTTCTGCAAGGCTGGAATCTTCTTCAGCCCCTGCACATCCCCTGGACTGTGACGATTGCTCCAACATGATTCGAGGTAGTTCTGGTCGCCGGTAATTACTTCATCGTCCCTGAAGATGGCAAAGTTGCGGAAAGAGCCCTGAACGTCAAGAGGAGCTCCCTGGTCGTGACGCAGAGTTTGGAGCTCAACAATATCCTCGACACGATTCTTTTCCTCGAATCTTCCACAGAACACCTTACCCAGGTCTGTGCTGAACAGCACAAAGTGCTCCAGTATAACGTAGTTCAGTACTGCTCCAACCTCTTGACGCAGAACTCTCTGCTCATCTGAATCGCGGTTGCCCTTGACATGCTGGTAGCCGGTCTTGGGAACTTCGGCATGTTCCAGGACAAGCATAGTGTCTGTACCTTCATCGCCATGGTCTCGTTCAACGGGGTCCCAGACGACGATGCCAACGCCATGAACATAGGCCGAGCTGCGGCTCCATCCTGCTACCACTTGTTTTACTTGTCCAAAGTTGGAGGTCGCGTTCGACTTGTCGTTCAAGGAGAGTTCGTTCAGCTGCAGAGTAGCGAACTTGACTTGGAGCGCAGGCTTCTTGACATCGTACCACGACCAGATTCGGCCGCTGTCGGAGAGTCCAAGTATGTGTGCACGGCCGGAGGAGAACTGCCGAATGGCGACAGTCGGCTCTTCGTATTGGGCCTCGGAGGTATTTGAGGGATAGCCTTCTGGGAAGCGGAGTGGTTGCAGAGGCCCGCTAGCAATGAGTATCCTCTGGCCATCAAGGGCGCCAGCAGTGTAGAGAGTGCCTTTCGAGGTGAGCAAAGTCGTGGACCAGCCACCACATTGCATGTCGGCAATGACTCCTAGTTCTCGTGTCTTGTCCATCTCCGTCGGGAAGGCTTGATGGGCGTTGTACATGCGCCTGCCTGGCCGCATCATCCCAGCTCTCATTCCTCTCATTCGAGGCGTCCGACCATGTGCGTGGTCCTCCGGGTCTGAAGCATGCCCCAAGCGGTTGTGCGAGTTGTGACCCCATGTGTATACGCGGCTCTGCGTGAGCATGCGGCGATACATCTTCTGCCAGCGGTCGCCGTCATGTTGTACGACTGGCTGGTTCGGTACGCGGAAGGTCGTTCGAGCGAGATAACTCCAGTACGCTGGGTCTAATCGGATCGACGGTTGCTGGAAGGCTTTGCACGTGCTGCAGAGGGCGAGGAAGCTCTTGGCATCGAGGTATGGGAACACGAGTACGAGGATGTCGAGGGGGAGGTCGGTGATGGAGTTGATGGTGTCGGCCATTTTGGGGTTGCGAGGCGTCTAGACACCTTTTTCGGCGAGTCCAGTAGAATAGAAGAGGTGTGTTCGAGGTAATGCCGGTGTTCAAGGTTGAAGTGATGGAATGGAGCCTGCTCCAGCTGGCAATGACGACGTGTGAGTAAACAAGATGTTTGCGCTGTTGGAGAAGGCGCGATGGATGCCTGCCCAATGACGCAGGGAGCGCGGGGATCATTCAATGTTGCGGGACATTTCCGTTTTTGCGCTAACCAGAAGCGGCGACCAAACTTCTGACTCAATTCACGCGTCTCTATCAAATTTCCGCCTGCCCAGCGACACTGGACCATACACGCACAGCACTACTCCACCTAATAAAACCGACCCAAGAAAACCTGCAGGCTTGGAGATACTGGATTTGGGACCAAGTTCACGCCACGACACTTGATTTTGCCCCACCACGCCTGATCGTTCCACACCTGACTGGCCACATTCCAATTCTTAAGGGACGACAAGAACAGAAGAGTCGCACCACCATGTCTGAGACACCCGCTGCAGAGGTAGCGCCTGCACCTGCTGCGGCAGTAGTACCACCTCAAGAAGGCGCACCTGCAACACCAAACGGCGATGCCACAGACGGGCCCAAAAAGCTCTCACCAGCGGAGTTGAAAAAGCAAAAGGCGGCCGAGAAGCAAGCAAAGCGAGCCCAAGCCAAGGCTGCGTCTGGTACGCCAAATCAGCAGCAAGGACCCCCAAGGGACAGCCAAAAACAGCAAAAAGACTCGAAGCAGACACCAAAAGACGACAAGTCAAGACCACAGCCACCATGGCGGCAGTCATCGCAAGCCAACGCACCAGTCGTGAAAGACCCAGAGAGAAAGACGAAGAAGGGGAAAGAACCAAAACAGACTGGTCTGTTCTTTGGTCATCTTTACAGCCAGCCAAAGCAACAATCTCTTGTCGGCGCGTCCAAAGATGTACATCCTGCGGTTCTCGCGCTGGGCCTACAGTATAGCAGCTACGCCATCTGTGGTAGTACGGCACGCATGGTGGCCATGCTCTTGGTGTTCAAGACAGTGA